GGAGAGGGAGAGAGAGAGCGAGAGAGAGAGGGAGAGGGAGAGAGAGATAGAGAGAGAGAGAGAGAGAGAGAGAGAGAGAGAGAGAGAGAGAGAGAGAGAGAGAGAGAGAGAGAGAGAGAGAGAGAGAGAGAGAGAGAGAGAGAGAGAGAGAGGGAGAGAGAGAGAGAGAGCGAGAGAGAGAGAGAGAGAGAGAGAGAGTGTGTGTTAGTGCGGTCAAGTGAGTGCATTCATGTAAAAGTGTGAGTTGATGTACGTTTCTGGCCATTTGTGTGACCCAGCACTCCAGATGCCGTCAACAAACGTGTATTTCAAATATAATATCGAGCAAATATTGAAAATAATGTACTCACCAATTACTAATGGTCACGAAATCTGTTCAAACTGTATCAGTGTGACCTCCAGAATTATACTTTTTAGACTGAAAACAATGGTTTTGTGGAGATACAAGGTTTTCATCCACACCGTAAGCACATAGATCTGTATGTTTTCACTGCATTTAAAAGCATTGTGTGTGTGTGTGTGTGTGTGTGTGTGCGCATTACAGTGGGCTTTTTAGCCATTATGTTATGTAATGAAGGGCAGTGTCACTTAAATGCTCTGCCCTGATTTAAGGCAGACAGATAAGCAATACTCAATACAGCGTGGCCAACCATATGGACCACAGCCGCACGCAACGACTGGGATTTCTTTTCCATTTCTCCCGCTTGCTTTAACACACACACAGTATACTGACACCAGGATATGGTGTCATGGTTAATATTTCAATGGCATGATTGGCCTGTTGATGGGTTTTTTTTTGGGACAGTTGAAAAATTGGGGCATTTTAATTGAGCTGTAAAATGACTTTTGCACTGTAGATATCATCACTTAAACAGAGCAACATTCAGAAACACTTCTTGTAACCTCAGGCTGTGTATTCACGTAATTTGTTGGTTCCACTTCTTCATAAAACCTGCTTTATAAAGGTTTAAGTTCTAAGAGATACTGACTAATAAATGCCTTGTAAATTAGCAATAAGCATTCAAAAGAGCAGCTTTTGGTTGTATCCTCATCCTCATCCAGTATAACTTGCTTTGTCTTTTCGACTGCTCTTTAATCTGTCTTGATGGCTTATTAGAAAGTGAGAAACTCATGACACGTTATAATGACTTACACTCATATCTGCAGACTTGATGATTTGTTAGAAGGCGATTAAGCCGTTGATAAGGGATCAAGACTTTTGAATTAGACATCGGATCTGCAGTTATATAAGTTGATTCCATTACCACAATCTGCAGGAGGCTGCGATAATGGCGGTTCAAGTTAAGAACTTCTTAATAAATGTCGGGATGGTCTGAATAATTCCTGCACGATAAATTAAAGAGCTAGACAAAAAACAACAGCAAAGCGAGTTAAAATAGAAGATGATGCACGACAGCCAGAGGGATTTTTCACAACCTGGCAATGTTAAACCGGTCATTATGAATGGCTGACTACTGATATAGCATTAATAAATCATTAATTAAAGCCACTCCAACACATATTCACTCCCAACTCGTCAAATGCCGGCACTTGGCTCGTGGCCCTATACTCTATGACGATCTACATATCCCCCTAGCATTACTTTTTGTTTTGGCAGGGACGACCTATCAGTTTCCACCTGTTGCACGACTAGTGTCTTTTCAAAATAAACAAACAAATTATGTTTAATAGCCTTTTTTGCGACAACAGTCATATACAGTACATGTGAAAACTCCATGCAACATCTTACATCCAAAGTAAATCAAGAAAAATGCTCATTTCCAGAACTCTTTTCCATTTATTTATAATTCACAGATATTTAATAAACTTTTGAAAGCCTTTTTCTGAAACCTTGTTTATTTCTGCTCCTTGCATAACATACGGCTCACTGACATATAGTACGTTTGCATGTTGGAACACACATCTATTGGGCTATTCTACTTCTCTGATAAGCTCCACCTCTCTGCTGTCGCTAGCTTCACTGCCACTACCTCTGGTTTTGGGAGAGGAAAAAAAAAAAAAAAGACACTCCAGGCAGGATGCAAATCACACCAGTGTGAGCCCTAAATATCTGCC